TTGCTGCTGCCGCCTGACCGCCTGTGACTAACCACCCATTGCCTACTGCCAACCCATCTTCTCTGTCTCGATCACAACAGACGACAATGGATGGAAGCGGTCGTCGTCGTCGTCTCAATCAACTATGATTGTGTAGTTGAACTTTGAAATGTGACGCAGCTCAATATTCATAGGGAAAAGAAGAGATCAAAGTCCAAAAACATATGCGCTAAAAGAAAACGACACTATAAAATAAAAAAAAGAACTCGAAGAATGAATGTCTTCGATCCATTTCATTGAAACTTAAAAGACAGTCAAATATAGTTTTTTAGCTCTTTATCAAATACACCTGAGCGAGTGTGTGCTGTTGTCAAAAGTTAAAAAAAAATCGAGCAAAACGCGATAACGAAACAATATCGAAGTGAAAGAAACATCTTCCGAAGGGGTAATGTGGGGGCTTGTTTTTTTCTTTCGCCAATAGTTTTGTATGGCCGGCATTGTTGCTGTGGCTGGCTGGTTGGCTGGCTGGCTGGCTGTCTGGTGTCAACAACTTTCCAGGTTGGTTTAGCATTTCGCCAATCTGCTGCTCTGTTCGGTTAGTTTGTTTGCTTTTCTGTTAGCGTCGTCTGATGCCAAACAACTGCAGTGACCGCGATTGCTGCTGCCTCTGCCACTGCTAGCCAACCAACATTGAATTTTCTACTCAATAATGCTGACTAGGCAAAAAAAGATAATAGCTATTTTGAATCATGTTTTTAGCAGCTATAAAAATCAAACATTTTGTTTTTGTTGTCTTTATTTACTCGCTTAGCTTGTTTAACTGTGGCAAAGAAATGCTGTCTAGAAATGGCACAAAACCTGGCGTTTATGTAATGTCAAAACTGTGGAGAGCGTTGAGGGTGATGATGATGATGATGTTCAGATGAGATGGGTATTGAAAATCTGTTGGCTCTCCACAAACAACTTGTTGTTGGCATTTAAATGGATAGCTACTCGCTCATGTTGTTTGCTTGGTTTCTTGTGTGATTTTTGCGTTCGCTCTAAACGAGGGCTGGCGGCTACCTCCTCGTTAAGGTCCATCAAACTAAATAAGGCTAATTGCCGTTGAATAATTGCAATGTACGTTAAATGCATTTCAAATCCAACATTTATGAGTTGTGTTGAGAAAAATTAAAAATCAATCAGTTCTAATTGGTTTTCTATTTATGGAGGAAATTGCATTCTTAATTGATAGGTGATTGAAATAGCACTTTTTCCCAATAATGGGCTCATGTGGCGCCCAACTAAAAGGGGATTTTTAAAGAAAATTAGCAACAATAAGTTGGATGGCGATTAATGTCTCTAATGATTATAAACCTTTAACTAGTTTCCAATATCAGTTTTGTTGCTTCTTAAGCCCCTCCTCCAAATGAAGTTGAAAAAAGAAAAAAAAAATAACAAATGCATGCAAAACTCCCATCCCTGACCTTAGCCATCATCCAATCATAGTCTCGTGTATGCAAATGTTTGTGTGGCAAACAATGTCTGCTGTTTTTTTTTTTTCGTTTATCTCGCACACTCTCTTGAGCTATTAATAAAAAATCTTTAAATGAATAACAAACAAATGCAAACAAAATAAAATGACTTGAAATCAAAAAGGAGTGATGGTACTGTGGTCACGTGACAGAATATTGAATATTGTAAAAGGAAATCTTCTCTAAGACTAATAATTTGTTATAGCAAATATTTATTTTTTATAGAATCTTCTTTTCATAGAAACAGCCTGACCTATATTTTGCTATAGAAAAAAATATAGAAAAAAATCTTTTTTTGTAAAAAATATAATATTCTATAGAAAACATCTCAGAATCTCCGACAGATGTGTTCTTCAGAATTGAAGAGAAATTTTTTTATAAAAAAAAAATCAGAGGACAATTTTTTTCTTCGCAAAAAAATTCTTGACAAAGAGAATACATTTTTCTATAGAAAACAATATTTTTCTTGTTGGGAAATATCCTCAGAATCTAAAGAAAAATGTCTTTAAATTTAAGCTGCGGATTTTTATACCCTCCACCACACTGTGGTACAGGGTATTATGTGTTTGTGCATATGTTTGTAGCAGGCAAAAGCAAACGAGATAGACACATGGTTTGCGAATATGCATAGAATCACTTTCTGAGTCGATTTACGCATATTCGTCTGTCCGTCCATGTATATATCTTTCGATTTGCACGAATTAGGTCTAGAATGTTAAGTGTGTTAAGGTCTAGAATGAAGTGTGAAAATCGATTTAGATATAGCTCCCATATGTATTTTCGTTCGATTTAATGTAAATGGTGCACCAAAGTCCCTTAATATTTTTCGATTTGCACGAAATTTAGCACAGCGTAATGAATTGGGTCTAGAATGATGTGTATTAAGTTTCCTGAAATCGGTTCAGATTTAGATATAGCTTCTATATCTGACCAAATGAAGAATTTAGTATCTGTTCCAGAATGACATGTTTATGGATCCAATTTCATTTTACTGGTCCTTTAAAAATGCGACGTCTATTAGGATTCATCTGTTGAATATACCCAAAGTGGTGAAGGGTATCATATAGTCGGCCCCATCCGGCTTTACTACTTTCCTCAATGGTTTTTTATTTAAAAATCATCAAAAGCTGAAAAAATGTTTTTATTAGAAACAAATCTTTGAAAAAAAATCATATGATTTTCCTATTGATAAAAAATAGACAAATACTGATAAGAAGGATAATTTTCTAATGCCACAATTTTTTCTATTAAATAATTTTTTTCATTAAAAGGATTTTTTCCAAAAATAAATATAATTTTTCTTTTTGGAAAAAATCCACTGAATGCTAAGAGATTTTTTTTTTCAGAAAAAGAGAAGAAAAAATCAAAGTAGAGACAATTTTCTTCGAAAAAAAGTCACCAGAAAAAGAATAAAAATTATTTTAAAACTGTCCTTAGATATTGGTCATAAGGAATCAAAAATCCTCAAACTGGGAACATTTTTTTCTAATAAAAATGTCTTTAAATTTGAAGCTGCGGAATTTTTTATTACAAAATAATCAGATTAGAAAAAATCTTTGAAAAAAAAATTAAAACATTTTTCTATAAAAAGAAATTATATTTCTTTTTGAAAAAAAACCTCCTAATAGTATGATAATTTGTCACAAAAACAGAGAACAGATTTTTCTCTATAGAAATAAATACTCAGATATGGCGAAAATTTCCTTTAAAAAATCACCAGAAAAAGAAAACCATTGAGCGGAGCAGTATAGTCGGACGGGGCTGATCATACGATACCCTACACAATAACCACGTATGTTTATTTGGAGGTTGCGCCATATTTCGTGATATATTCAGTCTCTTGACCGATTAGAGATTAGGAAGAGGTGCTTCCTTATTTTCCAAATTTGCCAATATTATTTTCCAAATATTGCCAATATTCAGTACAGATTCCCTTCACCGTGGGTTGTGTGGTGATGTTCGGCTTGTGGTCTATAGATCGACTCAAAAAAAAAAACACACACACACACACACAAAATGAAATGTTCGGTCCACTTCATCCCAAAATGATTATCTATCTGGTCATCACCGAAAATTATAGGCGTTGTCCTTGACCAGAACTGAAACCTCTCGGAAAATTTCAAAGCGATCCGCGCTATATTTCCGCCCTCTAGTGTGGTAATGTGTTGCTAAATAATATATGATACGTAAGCACCTATAAGTGTAACTGCCACATCCGAGTACATACGACAATATCATTGGTATCAATTTAAAGGTCAACCACTCCTCTTGGATATGCTAACTATATGTAAACCTCTTGGGTCTATGTCCTTCAGGGGTAAATATATACGCCATAGAATATACATTTTGTAATTTTTCACATAAAAGTCAGAGTCCATTTGACCCGATATTTACCGATCTTTATTAAAACAGGCATACTTATTCTTTGGCCCGATCCTCTTCTCCATGTAAAATTTCGCGAGGTTCGGACCAAAATTGCAACCTCTGGAGCGACCAGAAAAACCGACAAAAATTAAATATTTGGTCCATTTTATCCCGATCTTTACCAAAAACAATAGGGATCTTCATTGGCCAGAACCCATCCTACATGCAAAATTTCGTGAAGATTGGTCCATAAGTGTGGACCAACTTTGGACAGACGGATGGACACACATGTCTAGATCAACTCAGCTAGTCGAGATATGACGATCGGTATACCTAAAGGTGTGTGTAGGACCAATATTTCGCGGCGTTACAAACACTTGGGGCTGCACAAAGCTATAATACGCTGACAACATGTTGTGTAGGGTATAAAAACCCAAGCCAAAAGTAGTCGTAAAAAAATATTTAAAAAATCCACGACTAAAATAGCCGTTAAAAAAAGGATTTTTTTTAATAGTTCTTGAGCAAAATATTTAAAAAACAAGCTATTATAAGCCTTTGGAAAAAAAATGTTTAAAATTCTTAACTTTGTAATAGTCTTTTAAAAAATCCACGCTTACTTTTTTGAAAAATTGCAGGCTTATAATAAAAGTTCCTAAAAAAATATTTTTTTAAAAAATAAAAGTTTTAGCAATTTTTTTTAAAATCTATGTCTATAAAATTTTATGTTTGACTTTAAAAAATTCTCGCATCTACTTTGAAAAAAAAATTTTTTAAAAATTTTTTTTCCACTGTGCTTCAAACCCTCACAATGTTTATGATTAAGAAAACTCTTTCTCTCTTTTCGTTAGCATATCTCTCTCTGCCTTTAAAGATCTCTGAGCGAATTTAATTGCTATTAATTAAAACAATTAAATATAACAAACTGCAATATAAAGCAGAAAAAATATCTGTTACTTCAACAGACATTAATTGGTTTGCATCTCAGAACAAAAATTATACAAGACAGCAACAACAATAAAAATCAAATCCCGACATTACACGAAGGGCCATTAAATTTATTATTTATAGAAATATGATTTTTTTTGTAATTATCTGAAAAACAAAAAAATAATTAATTGTTGTGTTTTTATTTCTGCATTTTAGATCCTGAGAATCACATGCTACACTCGGAGGCAATATCGGTGGCGGCCAGTACACATGCTCACAGTCCAGTTAGCCAGGAACTGAGTCCGCTGGCAACATTGGGTCACAACAGCAACAGTAATCACAGTAATGCCAATTCACCGGCCAGTACGGGTAGCAACAACAATAGTACATCGTTTGCCACAGTCAACAGTAATGCGGCGGGTAATAACAACAACAACAACAGCAACAACAATTCACAATCATCGACGGTGTGTGCAATATGTGGTGACCGGGCCACGGGTAAACATTATGGTGCCTCCAGCTGTGATGGCTGTAAGGGGTTCTTTAGGCGTAGTGTACGCAAAAATCATCAATACACATGCAGGTAGGGTGGACAAAAAATATTTAATTTAAAAATATATTAATTTTTAAAAATGTTTTTCCTTTTAGATTTTCCCGCAACTGCGTCGTGGACAAAGACAAACGCAACCAATGCCGCTATTGCCGTTTGCGTAAATGTTTCAAGGCCGGCATGAAAAAAGAAGCTGTACAAAATGAACGTGATCGCATTAGCTGTCGCCGCACCTCCAATGATGATCCTGATCCAGGAAATGGTTTATCGGTTATATCTCTGGTTAAAGCTGAACTAGAAAGTCGACAATCAAAAGCTGGTGCTGCCATGGAAACAAATGCCAATGAAGATCTCTCGACAAAACAATTTGCCAGCATTAATGATGTCTGTGAGTCGATGAAACAACAGCTACTGACACTAGTCGAATGGGCCAAACATATACCGGCATTTAATGAACTCCAATTGGATGATCAAGTGGCTCTGCTGAGGGCTCATGCTGGAGAGCATTTATTGTTGGGACTGTCACGTAGATCGATGCATTTAAAAGATGTTTTATTGCTGAGCAATAATTGTGTCATTACTAAACATTGTCCAGGTAAGGATGGAGGATGGAATGGATGGCAATTTGGAATAGTTATTTATATATAATTTAATTTTTTCCTGCAGATTCCCGTGTCTCACCCAATTTGGATATATCACGCATTGGTGCACGCATAATCGATGAACTTGTAATGGCCTTGAAGGATGTCAACATTGATGATACAGAGCTGGCCTGCATTAAGGCATTGGTGTTTTTTGATCCAAGTAAGTTTGAACAAAGAATGGGGTAGACATAATTTAAAGTCCATTGTCTTAGAAGTCATTTATGATGAGAAAAGGTAGTCTCAGTGATCATTCACTGTGAAGAAGAAATTATTTTTAAAAATCCCCGACTAAATTAGTCTTTGAAACAGTACCCGAAATCAGATAACCTCAGAGCCTTTATAATCAAGAAATTTTTACGTCATTGGTAAACTATTGCAGAATATGTGACACTAGTGGTCCTCTATTGAAGAGTAGATAACCTAAGTGGTCATCTATTTTAAGGTCGATGGCCTCAGTAGTCATCTATTGAGGAGAATATGACTCAGGCGACTTCCATTGAACTTCTATTTGTAGAACTTATATTTGCAGAGTGGATGACTTCATTAATCTTCTATTGTAGAGCCTATGACTTTAGTAATATTGTATTGTAGAGTAGATGACCTCAGTAATCTTGTATTGTAGATAAAATGTTCTCAGTGAACTTCTATTGTAGAGTAGATGTTCACGGTGATTTTTTATTGTAGAGTAGATGACCTTAGTAATCTTGTATAGTTTAATAAATGACCTCAGTAATCTTCTACTGTAGTGTAGATGACCTATGTAGCCTTCTACTGTAGAGTAGATGACCTATGTAGCCTTCTATTGTAGAGTAGATGACCTCAGTAATCTTCTATTGTAGAGTTGATGACCTCAGAAATCTTCTATTGCTGAGTGGATGACCTCAGTAATCTTCTATTGTAGAGTAGATGACGTCAGTATTTTTCTATTGTAGAGTAAATGACCTCTGTAATCTTCTATTGTGAAGTAGATAAACTCAAGAATCTTCTTTTGTAGAGTAAAAGATCTCAGATATCTTTTATATGAATCAGATGACCTTCGTGATCATCTATTGTGGAGTAGTCGTCCTTAAAGATATCCCATTGAAGTATGTGTCCTCTTTGAACCTCTATTTTAGATTAGTGGTATTCTAATGTCGAGTAGATGACCGTAGTGGTCTTCTTTGTAGAGTAAATGACTTCATTAATTTTCGATTATATAGTAGAGGTCCTTATTGATCGCCTATAGTCGAATAGATGACCTTAGTAGCCTTCTATTATGGAGGATATGAACGTAATGATTTTGTATTCTATAGTGAGTAGGTATTACATGAGCGTCTATTGTACAGTAGATGTCATTAGGGTTATCCATTTGGTTCATATATTGTTGCGAAGGTGAAGGGCCAATATTAATCATTTTTGTACGGATATGTGTTATTCAATGAGAACCCTAAATACAAAATTACAGCCAATTCGGTTGGAAAACATTTCCAAAATCCCCAAAATACCGAATATTGGGGGTACCGCTAAATGTTGGCTACCCAGAAACTTGAGTCAATATTAATAATTTTTGGTACGGATGTGTGTTATACAATGAGATCCCAAAATAACAAATTACAGTCAATTCTGTTGGAAAACATGTACAAAAGTCCCATATCCTGAATATTGGGGGGTACCGTTATGTGCCTCAAACTTGAGTCAATATTAATAATTTTTGGTACGGAGGTGTGCTATACAATTAGAACCCAAAATACCAAATTACCACCAATTTGATTGGAAAACCTGTCCAAAATACCGAATATTGGGGGTACCGTTATATGGGGGACTACACCAAAACATGCACCGATATTTGCAATACTAACCATCCTAGAAGTACTAGTAATGAATGTACACAATTTCTTAAATATTGCGATCTCTATCGTGATTTCAACAGACGGACATGCGTGAATTGACATAGAAGTTTATTCTGAGGTCTCCGGTGAATATTTCAAGATGTTCCAAAAGCAATGACAAATTTAAAATATATTTTTTCATTGTTGTATACATTTTATTAAATATTGTACATCTCTCTTTCTTCTAGATGCCCGTGGCCTAAATGAACCACAACGCATTAAAGCATTACGCCATCAAATCCTTAATAATTTGGAAGACTATGTCTCCGATCGCCAATATGAATCACGAGGACGTTTCGGTGAAATTCTGCTCATATTACCAGTACTACAGTCCATTACCTGGCAGATGATCGAGCAAATACAATTTGCCAAAATCTTTGGGGTGGCTCACATTGATTCACTGCTGCAGGAAATGTTGCTGGGAGGTAAGTCCAATAAAATCGACGGGAAATTTGAATTAAAATTCTAAATGTTTCTTTTCTCCCATTCTTGCAGGCGAATTGGCCGACAACAATACTCCACTGACACCACCAAATCTTAACAACTACAGTCCCAGTCATGGTTTAGATGTTAGTCAAGTTACCTCCTCACTGGATGTCTTATCCTCGCCATCGAGCAGTGATCATTTAAATGATGCCATTTCCACATGCATGGAAAATTCACTGGAAGCCCAGTTGATGATGGATAATAGTTCGGTGAATGGTCATTTTAATTTAATGACCTCATTGATATCACGGTCCTCTAATCAACTTAATGCAGCTGGTGCTGCCGCAGGAGGTGCAACAGGAATGCGCCGTGAAACAAGTTCACCTTTGCTAAATGACAGTGATCGCAGTAATGAGGCGATAGATCCCACACGCAATCCAAACCAACAATATTTGGATTCATATAATCATGTACGCTCCACAATGCACAGTAATCTGCAGCAGTCAAATTTACAACAACATCCGACAACAAATTCCAATTCACCACAACATCATCATCATCAGCAGCAGCAATCACAACAGCAGCAACAGCACCACACACAACACAGTATGGGACCGGGACCCATAGCCACACATTCACCACCATTACATCGTAGTCATCCCTACCAAAGATCCGATTCTAGCCCAAATTCTAATTCAGCCAACAATGGCGGCAATAATCCCAGTCAGACACCACGTAATCCTGCAGAAATGACACTCAACGAATATAATCGTAGTGAGGGCACACCAGAGGAGTTGTTGCGAAGAGCCCCATTGAAAATACGTTGCACTGAAGCCTTAACTGCCATACCCAGCAATTTGCCTGTGACCACCAGCTCCAGTTCCCTTAATTCCAGTTACATTCTAAATCCCATGCATGATGGTAGTGATGCATATCGCATGACCTTAAAACAGGAACCTGAAACAGGTTACTAAAAAGTGCCTTTTTCCAAGCCTTAGTCTCGCTCTCTAAAGAAAGGGGAGGAGACTTTTATACACACACTATACATATTAGACATAGTCTTAAAAACTTTTTTGGATTACTTTTAAAGGTTTCTAGTTTATCTTTTAAGTGCATAATGATATAGACTTTTATAAAGCAAACAAACAAAAATGAACATTGTTTTATTATTTTTTATTTTAAATTGTTGAAATTTTGTTAAATAATATTTTAGTTTAGTTTGGTAATTAGGTTTTTTTATTATTAATAAAACAAAAACAGATAATCCAACCCTTCCACACCCCACACCCATCCCATTTGTCTCCCATTCTATCTCCACCATCGACATTTATCTTTTTGGCATTATTGACCTCTTTTAAATATCACACAGTCTTCCTCTTTTTTTATTAATATTATTATTGAGCATCTAGTTCTTGTTTTAGCTGTAATAAGAAAAATAGTTTTAAAATTTAAATTTTTTTATAAAAATTATAAATATCTTTTTGAATTTCTTCTACAATTATTGTAAATTCTGTGCTTTTAGGAAAACTTATTTTTTTTTGAGTTTGAAAAAAAATCAAAATTTCATTGTGTTTTTGGTTAAACTTAATTATTTTTTATATTATCATTATTTTTTTATTATTATTTTATATATACTTATATATAAATATTTTATTTTATAGGGTGTGATGAAATTATTTTGAATTATAAAAAAAATAAAGAAACAAATATTTGTATGTATTTTTATGTTTACATAAAATGTTAATAATAATAAAAAAACAGCAATACAATTATTGAAGGATCATTGATGATGGTTTTCATTTTAAATTGGGTTCTATTCGGAAACGTTTGAGGAGCTATGAGGTAACATTCTAGGTTTTTGACGTTTTTATATCCAAATAATTTATTAAGGACATCGATTTTGTTCTCTTACGGTTTGGAATGTGTAAAAAAAATTAAAAAAAGAAAAGTTATAAATCTCACCTTTTTGGCGTGATATTTTTTGAAAAGAAACATGCATTTGATTTATGACAAGCATTAATTTTGTTTCAAAGCTTTGAAAAATTACTCAATGTCGATCAAAAATATAGGCGATTAGATATTGATCAGAAGATATTGCACACAGTCCATGACGTCCCATGCCTACTCCAAAGTATATGTTTTGAAAATCATTCCAAAAGGGGGTTCCAAGGAAAAAAGGAACGAAAACCGAAAAAAAATATCTTTAAGGTCTATATAAGGCGTAAATTAAAAACAAAAAAATATTTGTTCAAGGTCTATGTAAGGCGCTGCCAATTTAAATAAGAATTTCATATTTGTCCTTTAAATTAGAAAGAAAATCCGAAAATGTTCTGCCCGGATGTATTTTATTCTCAAAAAATCCAAAATACCAAATTACAGTCACTTCCTTAAGGTTAGATCTTCAAAAATGCCAAATGCAAAAAACGTCAGTTATGTGTAATATTATGGACTTTTCAGCGGATCTATCATATGTGTAGACTATAACAGAGGTTGACCAAATCGGCTATACTGTTTTGATCACATTTTACCAAACAATTTTTCGATATCTTAAATATCTTCGTACTTTCACAAAATGCTAATTTTCTCCTATATAACATACTTATATATGTATATTATCAATATGTAATAAAACTTTAGATTTCCCTCTAACCATTGGTGTAAAATTTATAAAAATCGGTTAAGCGATCGCTGATTTATTAGCATTTGAATTCAACCATCATGCCAAATATACTTACTGTTCGGCTCTGGTCGCCTATTACCTGAAAATGAAAAACCACACAAAAATCCAATTTCTAAAAGTGACAATTTTTCGGTAATGACTGCCGGTGTGTAAAGACAAGTGTAGCATACATTTAGGCATAAAAATGGTCTGTATGTGGTCGCTAAATCGTCAGGTCGTTAGGAAAAATTATGGTTTTAATAAAATTGCAATAACTTTTGAACTATTGGAGGTATTAGAATAAAATTGGTGTCGTACGAAAGCTAAGAAGTTTAGCTGTTTCAACATCTATTCCAATTGGCATAATTTCGTTGCATGTGAAAATTTCGTTAGAAATATACATTTTAAAATCATTGATACGAATTTGTCGATAACAAAGACAATGATTTGCCCTGCAATTTGACACCATATTTGTGATAATAGAGTGATTCTTTAAAAAGTTATAGGCAGTGGAAGACAACTCTGAAGCGAAACCAGTAAGGAAAGTAGGAAAAGGTTGACCGCGACGACCATATGATATCCCCACAATTTTGGATATACACAAGAGATTTTCTTACGATTCACAGCATTAGGAACTTAATGAACAATTTCATAGCGATCATAACGACATTTCGTCGATATATTACAAATCTTTGAACTTTCACATAATGTTAAGTTTCTCTTACATAACATCAGTTTATGTATGTATTATGTCATGTATGCCAGTATGTAATAAAACTTTAAAATTCCCTCTTACCAATGTAGCAAATTTTATAAAAATCGATTAAGTATTCGCTGAGTTATTTGCATTTGAATTCAACTATCTTCCTAAATACAATCACCAATCAACCACATACAGACAGTTTTTGAGCCTAAAAGTATGCTACACTTGTCTTTACACTCCGGCAGTCATTACCGAAAAATTGCCACTTTTAGAAATGGATTTTTTGTGGGGTTTTTCATTTTCATGTAATAGGCGACCAGAGCCGAACAGTAAGTACATTTGGCATGATGGTTGACTTCTAATGCTAATAACTCAACGACAGCTTAACCGATTTTTACAAATTTTACACCAATGGTTAGAGGGAAATCTTAAGTTTCATTACATATTGACTTTATACATATATACAAATGTTATGTAGGAGAAAATTACCATTTTATGAAAGTTCAAAGATATGAACAATATCGACAATTTTTTTAGTAAAATGTGATCAAACAGTATAGTCGATTTGGACAGCCTGTGCTACAGTCTACACATATGATAGGTCCGCTGAAAAGTCCATAATATGACACATAACTGACTTTTTTGCATTAGGCATTTTTGAAGATCTAACCTTATGGAAATGGCTGTAATTTGGTATTTTGGATTTTTTGAGAATAAAATACATTCGGACAGATATTTTTTGGATCTGCTTTCTAATTTAAAGGACAAATATGAAATTCTTATTTGAATTGGCAGCGCCTTATGTAGACCTTGAACAAATATTTTTTTAAATGTACCACCTATGTAGACCTGAAAGATATTTTTTTCAGTTTTCGGTCTTATTTTCCGTGGTACCCTCTTTTGGAATGACTTTTCAAAACATATACTTTGAAGCAGGCATGGGACGTCATGGGCTGAGTCCAATATCTTCTGATCTTCTAATCGACTATGTTTTTGATCGAAATTGAGTAATTTTTCAAAGCTTTGAAACAAAATTAATGCTTGTCAGATATCAAATGGATGTTTCTTTTCGAAAAAAAAGTTAAGGCCAAAAGGGTGAGATTTATAGTTTTTCTTTTTTTAATTATTTTACACATTCCAAACCGTAAGAGAACAAACTCGATGTCCTTAATAAATTATTTTGATATAAAAACGTCAAAAACTTAGAATAATACCTCATAGCTCCTCAAAATTTTCCGAATAGAACCCAATTTAAAATGAAAACCATCATCAATGATCCTTCAGTTTTTTTTATTATGATTATTAACATTTTATGTAAACATAAAAATACATACAAATATTTTTTTCTTTATTTTTATTTTAATTCAAAATAATTTCATCACACCCTATAAAATAAAATATTTATATATAAGTATATATAAAATAAAAATAAAAAATAATGATAATATAAAAAATAAAATAATACAATAAAAAAATAAAATAATATATAATAATATATAACATAATATAAATTAAGATAAACCAAAAACACAATGAAATTTTGATTTTTTTCATACTCAAAAATAAAAAATAGTTTTCCTAAAGCGAACAATTTAAAATATTTGTAAAAGAAATTCAATAGATGTTTATAATTTTTATAAAAAAAATTGAAATTTAAAACTATTTTCTTATTACAGCTAAAACAAGAACTAGATGCTATAAAATAATTATTTTGTTAAGACTATGTCTAATATGTATAGTGTATGTGTGTGTAAAGGAGTCTCCTCTCCTCCCTTGAAGAGGGGGAGAGAGCGAGACTAAGGTTTGAAAAAGGCACTTTTTAGTAACCGATTTCAGGTTCCTGTTTTAAGGTCAAGCGATATGCGTCACTACCATCATGCATGCGATTTATAATGTAACTGGAATTAGGGAACTGGAGCTGGTGGTCACAGGCTGATATCTGGGCATGGCAGTTAAGGCTTCAGTGCAACGTATATTCAGTGGAGCTCTCCACAACAACTCCTCGGTGTTCTCTCACTACGATTGTATTCGTTGAGTGTCATTTCTGCAGGATTACGTGGTGTCTGACTGGGATTATTGCCGCTTTTGTTAGCTGAATTAGAATTTGGGCTAGAATCGGATATTTGGTAGGGATGACTACGATGTAATGGTGGTGAATGTGTAGCAATGGGTCTCGGACCCCTACTATGTTGTGTGTGATTTTGCTGCTGCTGTTGTTGTTGCTGATGATGATGTGGTGAATTGGATTTTTGTTGTCGGATGTTGTTGTAAATTTATCTGCTGCAGATTAATGTGCATTGTGGAGCGTACATGATTATATGAGTCCATATATTGTTGATTTCGATTGCGTGTGGGATCTATCGCCTCATTACTGCGATCGCTGTCATTTAGCAAAGGTGAACGGCTCATAGCCGTGTCCGGAGCTCCTCCTCCGGCAGCATCTGCTGCATTGAGTTGAAGGCGATTCAATGAGGTCATCAAATTAAAATGACCATTCACCGAACTTTTATCCATCATCAACTGGGGTTCCAGTGAATTTTCTATGCATGTTGATTGGCATTATTTAAGTGATTACTGCTCGATATCGATGATAAGACATCTAAACCATATAAACCATGACTGG